AAACGAAAGAGAGCTTCAAAACAGACTGCAGCGCCATCTGAAGCAAAGAGCATACTTCCTGCGGACACTTTTTTGGCTGAGTGGCCCATCTTGTTATGTACCATCATTGCTTCAACGCAGGAACGGCACTACCAGTAAAGAGAATCTAAACAAACAGTCAAACGATTTTATAAATTAAATAATATTATTATATGCAATGTTTTCATCATCACACATAAAGCAAACAAGACCCTACCAAAAAGAAATCAAGTACAGTAAAAGTGTCACACGATTACAACGAATAGTTGTGATGATGACAATAAATCCTAGTCCACATCGCCCTTGAACACTTTATTATTTTAAAAGAAGTAAATTTACGTTTCTAAAAACAAACTGATATATTATGGAAACTTTCAACAAGGTGACACAAGAAAACTTACTTACTTTCGGAATTTCATGTTATGGCGGTAACATCTCTAAACAACATCAAGTATGTCTGGACAGTTATACGGATGGAGAGCAACGAAAGTTTAACACTATCTGTATACCTGGGGTCATTTTGTACCCCAGGGGTTGTATTCTTCACGTATTAGAATACTTCTAGGTCGAAGATCTCTTTGAAACGTTCAGTATTTCTCAAAAAAAATCATTTTGACAGACTGCCATGCAAAGCGTACGAATCGGATTAACGAGAAAATGTCCCCTTTGGAAAGTGGTGGCACAGAGTTCCCCACGTCGTATGGATACGATAGTAAAACACGACGTACGGATTGGGTTAATAATTCATTCCTCTCTTTCGTTGAACTTTACAAAAATCAATATTATTGTGAAAGCAGCAAAGAAGAACATTGCTCTAACACCAAACACTCATTAAATTCGAAATACTAAACATCTGTTAAAACCAAACGTTTTATTTGTTATTATTTTCTTTATTGCAAGGATTAACAGGTATTAAAAATAATTCATACTGCTATCAACACGGACTGATCAGTCATTGTAACGTGTGCTAGAATAATATATTTTTTTGTAGGTCCATCCAATGACTATTCGTGTGTGCGTGTGTGCGTTAGTGTATTTAAATAGATGTGTATATTTGTGTGTATGTAAGTGTGTGTTAGTGTGTATGTGTGTGTTTGTGTGTGAGTGTTTGTGTGTGTGTGTGTGTGTGTGTGTGTGTG